TTTTATAATCTTCTAAAAGACATTTAAAGGGGGCTGGAGAAATGGCTCAGCGGTTAAGAGCACTGGCTGTTCTTCCAGAGGGCTTCAGTTCAATTTCCAGCAGCCACATGGTGGCTCACAACCATCTTTAATGAGATCTGGCACGCTCTTCTTGCCTTCAGGCATATATGCAGACAGAACACTGTATACAAAATAAATAAAAATTTAAAAAAGACATTTAAGTGAATAGCAGCCTTTTACAATTGGGGAATTGTACTTTGAATCTTAGGATTTACTCTTACAAGTCAGTATGATGTGTACTTCAAAGATCTGTATGCTGCCTCAAACTCAATTGCAAACAGGTAAGGAAGGAACTGCTTTCAATAACACGAAGAACAGCTTCTGACAATTTCACAAAGTAGAGTTATGGTCCTACAGTAAAGATGACTGAGCAAGCTTGCCCTAGAATATCAGGGCAAGTATACCTCCATCACTTTATTTTTAATGGCAGAATTTTTGGCTAGCTCAGTGAACTACAGCTTATCTCAAGTCATCTGTATTTGTTCCTTGGTGAATACAGGTAATTGAATACTTTAAAATAAATAATGGGAGCCATTACATCCAAGATTATTTTTTTCTTGAAATGTTCTACAAATTGATGGCCTGTGTTTAAAAAATATATATTTTTAATACCTGTGTGTGCATTGAGTGTGCATGTGAATGCAGTAACTGCAGGGGCCAGAAGAGGGCACTTGATCTCCTAGAGAGGGAGATAGTGGGCAGTTGTAAGCTACCTGGTGGGTGCTGGGAACCAATTCCATCCCTTTAGTAGAGCAGGTAGCACTCTTAACCCCTGAACCACCTCTCCAGCCCTAGCTGTATCTTTCTGGATAAGATATATCTCAGCAACCCCCCCTTTAGATTTAGATTTGTTGTAATTATTGCTTCTACTTATCCTATGTTCAAGATGTTAGATTTTTACCTCTTACTGGGCAATTGGTGAAAATGGAAACTTAAAATATAGGCAACATTTCAATTGAATAAAATCCATAGGCAGTCAATTTTTTTTTTTTTTCTTTTTGGTTTTTCGAGACAGGGTTTCTCTGTGGCTTTGGAGGCTGTCCTGGAACTAGCTCTTGTAGAACAGGCTGGTCTCGAACTCAGAGATCCGCCTGCCTCTCCTTCTGAGTGCTGGGATTAAAGGCGTGCGCCACCAATGCCTGGCTGGCAGTCAAATTTTTACTACTTCAGCATTTCAGAATAAATGATTTAGTTTTCAAATTTATCAGTCAGTGGAATGATAAGCTATCACTTTGGTATCTTCTTTAACGAATAAGTAAGTAAAACTGCTTACAGTAATTAATGCTCTTCTGAAATACAGAGGATAAAGTACCATGACTAGAACATTTATTGAGTGCTCACAGTACCCTAGGAATGTACTTTTCTTTTCATTACACCTTTGTTTTAATGTAGAAATCTGCAGATGTAAGATAGGTTAGAGTAATTAGTGCACTTGATATGAAGGCAGAAAAAAAAATCCACTCAGAGTATGTGATACATGATCTCTATCTAAGTCAGATATCTATGTACATGTTATAGAATCCACGATGTAGGTAGAAACTCTGCCTATATAACTTAAAGGTTTTGTCTACTCATATTCATTTCTCTATGTAGCATGCTTAGTAAGATTGTAAAGGCAAAATATGAAACTAGTAGATATATCTGGAACTAATGAATGAGTATTTCACGTGTAGTTATCAAGATATTTAAATATCTGGATTTCTAAATTTTCAGACAGTTAAATAGTAATTATTGCTTAAAAGGTACTAAGACAGTTTTAAGACTAAAGACTCAAAATAGCTAAGATCTGTGCACATTAAACATCTTATCAATGTTATCTTTATCCAAATTCTTCAAAAATGTCTTGACTCAAATTCAGGTATATAAAACTGTCTCTCAAAAGTTGATGTCCTACCTTGGCTACTAAAAATAAGACTTTATTTGTAAACGGTGCCGTTGTGGATATAATCAAGTTAGGTTGTGGTTACATAAGATCAAATGAAGTCCTCTACCCCATGATTAATATCTTCATTAGAAAGAGATTCCAAGACAAATATGGACAGAGAAGGAAAGTCATGTTACAATAAAAGTAGAGATTTGGATGATAAAACTGTAATTTATAGGAAAATGATGGCTGGCAACTGTCAGGACTTGAAGAGGCAAGAAAGGGTTCTTCTTAAGGTCCCTTTAAAGGAACGGACTTTCTGCCACCTTATTTTGGAGTTTTAGCCTTCTGAACAGTGAGAAAATAAATTTGTAAAATTTGTAAAATTACCAAGCTTGTGGTACTTTGTTGCAGCAACCCTGGAAACCCAACAGTGTGTCAAAACACAAGAAATTAACAAAGTTAATATGTTCCGGTTTTTTTTTAACCTGTTAGAAAGATCATTACTAATTATTATTATTTTTTAATCACTTCCCAACCTGGAATATAGGAACCGCTCAAGGGTTTTAGCTCTCTCATAGTTTCTTAAAGTCAAAATTTGTAATTTATTACCAATCCCAACTTTTGATTTCTTTGTGGCCTGACATTGCTTGGCCAAGCAAAATCCACACACAACCCATCTTGCTGATTATTCTTAAAAGTGAGGCTCCAACTTTTTTCTATCGATGTTCATACTGCAGTTACTGCATTTAGATGACAAAAATCTACCAATTTTATAATTGTCAATTTTCTGTCCTTAAAAAAATAACGGCAGATTATCAACAGTAAAATACAGCTGCATTCAGACAATAAACTAAACTTGTCACTTACAATCAATGAATAGAAAAGAAATAATTATTTTATCCTGAGTACTTTGATCCCTTCCTTTTAGTTCACATACTCAAATATTACTAGGTTGTATTGATTCATTATTTATAACCATCTTTTTATAAAAAGCCCCTCTTCTGGCACACAGGCCTTATAGTCAGAGTACTCATACATTTAGAAAAAAAAAGTAAATTAAAAAAAAAGTTTAGTTTTACACAGGTTAACAGATTTCTGAGCCAAATCTCTTACATATAAACACAAAAAGCATACTTGTTTTCCTCAAGTATCTGCATAACTTTAAAATTCATTTTAGGATAGGACTAGGGTAAAATGATAAGCTTACTTAGCCTATCTATATGGTGGGCACTGTTTGTTTCATGTTCAATATCCACTATGCTTTATTACTGTTGTTACTTTTGAGATAGAGTCTTACTATGCATGTATGTAGTGCTCTGGCTAACCTCAAAAGACATCCATCTACCTGCAGCTGCCTCCCTAATACTGCATTGCTACAACCAGTTCTGTTCTGCTCTAATTCTGCTCAAAGCATTTACTCAACAAATAATCACTTTCTCAGACTCTGTAGCTAAAAAAGATCATGAAGCACAAACTAACACTTACTTCTTTTTTTGTGGGGGAGGGGGTGTTTCGAGACAGGGTTTCTCTGTGGCTCTGGAGGCTGTCTTGGAAATAACTCTTGTAGACCAGGCTGGTCTCAAACAGAGATCTGTCTGCCTCTGCCTCCCTAGTGCCGAATTAACTAACACTTATTTCTTAAGTACTTCTGGGAAACCTTCATTAGTACATTCGTAATTATTTGTTTTCTTTGTATATCACTTTGCACTAAACTCATTTGTTAGACATTCAATGTTCTAAACCATCAAGCTCTTCTACTAGATGCTTTGTTTCTTAACATCTTCACTTTGTGGACTTACTTGGGCATTGTTAACTTGCTCTTCCTACTGCTACACTAATGCTTTTTAATTTGCCTAGAACAGGATCTTTACTAGTTTGTTGGAGTCACTTATTAACTTATCTGCCTCTCCATGTGGGGTAGTATCTCCTTTGTTGTAAGAATGCTATCTTCTGTTTACACAGGATCGTGTTTGGCACACTGCTTAAATTTTCAATAAACATTTTTACTTTTTACATCAATGTATTTATTTGGGGGGGGGGGCAGAGTGAAAGCATGCAAGACCTGTCTTTTTATCATAGAGGTTCCATATTACGAGACCATCCGTAGTCCGTAAGGTTAAGATATCTTTATTTAGAAAAACACCAGCAAAACACAAGCCAGAGCATGCCAGGAGCAGCAAGGCAGGCAGGCCAGAGAGAAGGGGCTCCCATGTGCCTTGCAGCCCCTTAAAAAACTATTACAAGTAATCCTGACCTCACCCTGACCAGACCTCTGGGGTCAGGCACACCTGTAGCCAGCTTCTAGCAGGCATGGCTTACTGTCCCTACAGTTCCAGAGCTCAAACTTAGGTACTCAGATGTGGCAGTAAATGCCCTTACCCATTTTTAATAAAGAACAAAACAATAAGTGGATCCCCATGACACACACAGTGGGTCTCATAGCAGGCCTTGATTATGCAGCTGAAGACGACTGTGAGGTACTATCTTCCTCCTGCCTGTGCTTCCTTGGTGCCTGCATCACTGTGTCTGGATTCTTTAACTAGATTTTCAAAACCTGTTGTCTTTTGTATTGAAAGTAATTAACATCAGGGTGTGGTGGTACTTACCTGTTATCCTAGCACCCAAGAGTCTGAGGCAAGAGGATCAGCAGTTCAACGCCAAAGACTACAAAGTAAAACTGTCTCTTTAAATAAATGGTAATTCACAATTTTTATCTCTGCCTTTGTCCCTAATATCCCCCACTGACCTCTGTTCTTCCTCAATGTATAACTTGTTAAACACATACACAAAATTTACAGTGCTAATAATAATTTTAAAAATCCAATCATCAGCCTTTAATCATGGTGGCTCATGCCTTTGATTCTAGCACTTTGCAAGCAGAGGTAGGTAGATCTCTGTGAGTTCCAGGCCAGCCAGGGCTATATATTAAGGTCTGGACTCAAAACAAACAAATAATTAAATTCAGTAACTTCTCCCCTTTTATGATTTTTTTAATAAGACTGAGCACAGCAAATAACCTAAAAATGTTTGAACAGACTATAAAAATAATGAAAAACACAGGGAGCATTTATACCTATAGAGGAAGACTGTGGACTAATCAGGAGGTCCTCTTGAACTGGTTCACTTCCGGGCACTGTCTGCTGATCACTCAGTGAGCTCTGAGATGCACTGACAGGCTGGGAAACTTCCTCATGGACCTCCTCATCACTTAATCTTTCTACTTTGACCTGCACATCTTCTTCTGTACCTAGAGGCAAGGTAGTTTTTGTGCTCTCACAAGTCACATAGTCAGCCATTCTTCTGCCTGCCTCAGATGGGCCAGGCAATTCTAAAGTCCGGGTATTTTCTGCCTGTTTCGATTTCTCAGGCTGAATCCTTCGATCAATTCCAAAAGGGAAAGTCCATGGAAAAGCTAAAGAAGAGTCAACTGGCTGATTTCTATTTTCTGCATAGGAAGCTGAAGAATTCAATACCTGGGGTGAACTTGTTTGTGTGCTACATTTTACAGGACTCTCAGGAGACATAACAATGTAGCTTTTGCGTTTTCTTCGGGATTCTCGGCAGACAGGAATGGTCCTGTCCACAACACTGCACTCTGAAGACACCGGAGAAATACTTCCATCTCGAGAAGTAAAATTGCAGTTGGAACTATTTTCTTGTCCAGCATCCAAACCCTTTTCTGGCTGGCTATTAGGTGTATTCCACAAAATACTTGATTTCATGAACTCTGAGCAGGTACTAGCAACACTAAACATTTGCATGTAGCTGGCTGCGGCTAGAACATCAATAATATTTTCTGTGTTAATTGACAGAGTGGCTGTGTAAGCGTATTCTAAAAGAGGTATAAAGCCAGTTACTGTAACATGATGCAGATCCAACACGTTTTTGTTCTCATCCTCTGCTTGGCCCACAAGTTTTGTTCGAAAGAAATCACTGCAAGCTGCTAATACCACCTTATGAGCCCGGAAGATTTTGTCCTGAACACGAATAGTGATATCACAAAAATGTCCATCATTTCGTAGCATATTTAGTTTTCCCAGCATTTCCTGGCTGTGGGAAGAGGAGCTGTGAGTAAATGTTTTCACACCCATCTTTTTTTTTCCCTTCCTCTTCTACTGATGCTCTTCAAGGATGCAATAAATCAGAAATATCCTAAAAAACACAGAAAACAAAACATCAAATGACAGCTGAAATGGACTATTTATACTGTTTTCATGTAGCAATTGTGCTAAATAAAAAGACTAAAATAATTTTTAACAGTGAAAGAGAAAAACTTCAAGTATGGAATGTATTAAAATATATTTTCTGGTCTGTTGTGGTGTCAAATTCTTATAATCCTACTAAGGAGACTGTCACAGGCTCACAAGCCTGTGCTGCACACAGTAAGTTTGAGGCCAGCTTGGGCTATAGGGTGAAATCCTGTGTCAAATAAATAAAATGAATGAACATAAAATAAAAACACTTTTTTTAGATATCAACCAGTGGTCTATAAATTACTGTTAATGAGCATTATTTAAAAACAATAGCTGAATGACAATTACAGAGTACTTTTATGTGTTAGAAACTGTTGTAAATATTTAAGCACATGATACTCTTTTGACTGTCAAAGACACCTTGGTCAGTAAGTATATAATTATTCCTGCTTCTAAACATGAACATGCAATAAAGTCAGGCAAGCATATGATTCTGTCAAATGTTTTATTCAGATAAATGTATAGGAGAAAGGGGGAAGGGAAAAAGAAAAGATTTCAAGATTTTAAAAAAGTTTGACTAATATAATGATAGAAGACAAAACTGTTCCCCACTTGACATCATGATAAAGGATAACATGAACTGAATCTTAAGAAGGTAAGAGCTGACACCACAGAGATAATGATTTTGACCAAATCCAAACTGCTCCAGACACTTACTCTATCATATGCATTGAAGTGTTGCTCAGTCCTCCAAAGGAGAAGAAAGTCAAATTAAGATGGTTAAAGACAACAACAAAACAAACCCTGCTCTACACATTCTTCCTAAATACAAGTAATCACAGGCAGACATAGTAATGTATGCCTATGATCCTAGCATTTTGGAGGCAGTACATTAGGAAAATAACCAAAAGTTCCAGGCCAACCTGACCTACATGGTTAGTTAGTTCCAGACCAACCAGGGTTACATAGATTCTGTCTCCAAAAACTCAAAATAATAAAACAAAACAAAACAAAATGTCCAAACCTCAAACTTAAACAAACAAACAAAAACCCAAAGTAATCACAAAGAGATAATTCATTTAGGATTGATCTAGGCAGAAAATAACTTCATGAATTTGTTCTCTTATATAAACAGGATGGGTACATATAACATGTGTTGTTCGGTGCCTGTATGTCAGTAAACATACAAGAGTGATTACTTTGATTCCCATTATGTGGTTGAGAGCAGAAGACTGACTTCAGAGCAAATGACACTCATGACCCAGGGACCATCTGCATGAACACATGTATTAAAAAACAAGAAATCAAGCACTGTCGTTGGAAAATGTGTAACAAAATGCTAAAATGAAACTACTTCAAACTTGATTTGGGTGGAGGCTCCAGATACTGTACCAGCAGCCTTCAAAGAAAAGTACAAGGCTACCCAGACAAGGAGGGAGTGGAAATCTTTTTCAACCTGGTGTCACCTCCATCTTCTACGAACAAATAGCTAAAAATTAGATTAGTTTAGCCAAAAATCAGTGGGTTTTGAGTTCCAAACCCCATTCAACTCTTTTCTTCTTTCCTAAACGGAAAAATAGTGACTGCCCTCAACCACAAGTTCCCAATCGAAGTAACCACTCCTAATGGCCTAACTTCAAAAGTAGAGGTGTGTTTTCTCTTAATCGCAGGCCTATTATACTTGGGAAAGCTCTAAAGGATATGAGTCTGATTTAAAAAACAGCTAAGATGAGGAAATATACCATTATTTCCCAACAGTATATAAAAACCAAGAATGAAGTGGTTAAAACATAGATGGAACCAGAATTCTGGATTGTCATCTTGATTATGTCATATATATAGTGATTTGTACTTTTAATTTCTGTGGCAGTAAAACAGGGATAATAGAACCTATATCAGAGCTCTGAGGCTAGTCAAATACATGTTTCAGATAGTAACAAGCAACAGAGAAATTCAGTAGTTGGAACAATAGTAGTCTCTTTCAGTCCTAAAAGGACCAGAAATTACAATTAGCCCTCTGGGATCTTCCTGTCTGTGTCCCCAGTTCCTGGATCACAAGTACATGTAACACCATGCCCAACATTTCATGTGAGTGTTGGGGAGCTGAACTCAGAGCCTCATGTTTACACAAGTACTGGGCCACTGAGTTCTCTCTTCTGTCTGTTTCTGTCTCATATATGTTATATGGGGGCATAGGTTTTTAGTTTTTACAGGTTTATACATACTCCAAACAACATCTGCCCATAAGATATTACTCACTGCCTATACCAGAGTGCTCATCCTGGAAAAAGGTAAAGACTTAACATCTATACTGACTCCTAACATCTTGTATTAATATGCAGCAATCTAGAAGAGGACTTTTAACTGGGGCTACCCAAATCCCAAGCCAGGCTGCAATTATCTACTGCACAGGACACTAAGCCTCAAGCTATAGAACTACTGCAAAATATCAGGATGGGGGGAAAAAAAAAAGCATGGAAAGCTTTACCCTTTACAGCCATGGAGGCCCTAGCTATTCATTTCCTCAATCATTCCTGAGTACAGCTAAAAGGAGGAATAGGAGAAACCAACAGAGGAAAAAGCTAACAAAGAATGATTCTGGCTTTCCTTATAAGGAAAAAAAATATCCTTCCTTCTGTCAACAAAGGAACATCTCTCAGACTACACAATACTTATGTAGGGTGCAAGACTCTTCACAATCTCCATATTCCCCTCACCTACTCTCAAACCAGGAGTTAAGTTATAAATTCAATTCAGTAAAAACTGCTCTATCAAGCCAAGCGTTGGTGGCACGTGCCTTTAATCCCAGCACTTGGGAGGAAGAGACAGGCAGATCTCGAGGCCAGCCTGGTCTACAGAGCAAGTTCCAGGACAGGCTCCAAAGCAATACAGAGAAACCCTGTCCTGATAAACAAAACAAAACAGAAACAACAACAAAAACCCCACAAAAACAAAACAAAAACTGGTCTATCTGTAGCCTGTTAGTCCTCAAGGACATCTCAGGCTAACCTCTTCCTTACCCACTCAATTGAGGGAAAACTTACCTGGATAGGATTGGCAAATGGATTTCACTATTATCTAAATATAAACAATATAAGTGGTTTAGTCAAAACCACTTTTGGGGGCTGCCTAGAAGCCTTCCCTCTCCTCCAAAACAAACAAAAAATGCCTCAGAAGCCAACCAATTATTCTTACAAGAGATAATCCACAGATCTGTCCCTTAACCATTATCTCCAAAGCTATAATGGTGTACAGCCTTTGTTTCCAAAATAATCCAACAGGTCTCACAAAGCTTTGGGTATCACCCTTATATACACCCTGTGTATCACCCTCAATCTTCAGGGAAAATTGAAAAGGTCCATTCTATGTTAAAACACCTATCAAGCTGTCTCTTGAAGCTTCAACAAGAGGGCCCCAACTCAATGCCTTTCACTTTTAAGATTGAGAGCCATTCATTCTCAAGGCATGTGTGATGGTTAGTGTTGCCAACTTAACAGAATACAGAATCACTTAGGAGATGGGACTTTGGGCATGCTTATAGGAATTATTCTGGCTTCACAGAGGTGGGAAATCCTGCTCACTGTGGGTGATGGCATTCTCTAGTTGTGGGGACTCTACAAATAAATGAAGAAAGGAAGCTGGGCAACAGCATGCATTCTTTGCTCTCATTCCTGATTGTGGATGGTATGTTAACTTCCCTGTCATGATAGACTATACCCTTGAACTGTTAGCCAGAATAAACCCTTTGTCCCTTAAATTGCTTTTGTAATAGAGTAATCTGTCATAGCAACAGGAAAAGAAAGATAACAAGCACCCTTATGCTTAAACCCTTTCTCAAGTTATCCCACCACAGACTTTTCTCCTCAACACTAGCATCCCTATCAAACCCCATCTTAGGAAATGGCCAGCTCAGTCTTTACAGCTTGATTCTTAGAAGCCTGATCTCAGGGAGCATGCTGGTCAACATTTCCTGGCACCCTCCTCATATCTCACCCTCCATCTTAAAATCAGGCCTGGAGACTGTATCCTCTTAAAGGACCTACAAGAACAAACAAGCTTTTCAACCAAGGGGAGGGTTATTCTCACCACTCTCACTGCAGCTAGGCTTGCTTTCAGGATTCTTGTCTCAGATCTAGCTCAACTCAAGCTAATTTTTCACACTATACCAACAAATCTACAGGTGATCTGCTCCTCTTCAAAAAGGTAAAATGCCCATGTCTGAAAGAGCAGGAAAAGTCTTTATTCTGTAAGAGACTTTCTGCTTGTGTATTACTCTAAATACCTCAGTAGTCTGGCCACTGATCAGGCTACTGAGAATGCCCTAACTCTAGCCTGGAACAAATGTCTTCAGGGAAATTTCTAAGATTAATTACACCTTCAAGAAATTTAATCTTGTACTTAAAAACTGCTTGCTGTGTGGGCTGGAGCAATGGTTCAGCAGTTACAAGCACTGGCTGCTCTTCCAGAGGACCCGGATTTAGTTCCTAGCACCCACACAGCTCACAATTTCAGTAATTCCAGAACTAGGGCATCTGATGTCCTTTTCTGGCTTTCTGCATGCATTTAGTGCATACACACACACACACACATACATGCAGACAATACGCCCATATGCACGAAATAACAAAATAATAAAAAATAAAAACTGCTGGGACTATGGCTTTTCTTGTTCCTTTCCTGGGTCAGTGTGTGATAGCCTCTGCATTTCCAGCTGGGTGGTAATCATTTCGACTATCTCTACCATCCGGCCTGAATTTTTTTTTTTTATTCACTCTAGGAATTCTTCGACCTTTGTTATTATAACTTTACTCCATACAAAACCAATCATAAGGGCATAAGATCATGAACTACACAAAAACACTAGTCACAGATTGTTGGGTTTGTGTTCTCATTCCTGTCTACAAGACTCATCCTAGGCTAGAGAAATGGCTCAGTAATTAAGAGCACTTGTCATTCTTCCCACCCCCCAGCACTGTGTG